CGAATCTATCACGCATAGAAATCCTCACTAATTTCACGCACACAAGGTTAAGCAACTCTCAAAGAGTGAATACGTGTGAGTTTATAATTTTCATAGTGACCTAGACAGGCTGTGCAGCTGCCTTGTTATGATCTCTACTACATTGTAATTGCAGTGCTTAAACACGAGTGGTAGTATGACATAGTTTTTTTTTTTTTGTTGTATCTCGTAGCATTCACGTGCAAAAATATTAATGAGAAGTGGAAGAATTAAGAGGATAGACTTATATTATGCGATGTATGAGAGGGAAAACTACGAAAGTCATAGGTCAAATGTTTTTGTTTACGTTACATTCTGACCATTTACTGTTATTGTTGAACGCTTTCTAATGACTCGCAATAGAGGGCGGCGGGGAGAGAAATAATGCATGTTGTTAACATACCATTTGCTAATTTGCGTATCTAAGAGGTTAAAGGTGATGTAGAGACAATATCTGTGTTTATTACTTGTCAAATTGAGGCTGTTAACTTAACCTTCTTTATTTTCATAGAACTGATTCATTGTAACACTATGAATGCTTCGGCCGACCAGGAATACCAGGTTGTCAAATGAAAGATGGTCATGTTAACAAAGGAGACTATGCAAGCCACTGCACTGGTGACTGCAAATTACAGTGACATTATGTTTATCATAAGAAGAAGATATTTTTCATTATCCTCAACTGAAAAATTGAGAAAAGCGAAAAGAAAGAAAGTAATAGATTTAGCAGCCTATCCACCAGGTATTGCTACATTCCTTTTTGCTCTCCCTCTACTTTTTTTTGCATGACAACTTGATGCAAGTGGATATTTCACAAAAATGAAGCGCAGTTCGTTAAATGAATGAACAACCTGGTCCTTGTGTTATAGATACGTTGGTAATACTTTATCACTAGTTTGGTTCACTGCTTTATATAATGATTTGTTCATGCATTAACTGAATTCTTTTGATTTTTAAAGAGAAGATACGTAATTTCGGTATTGTGGCCCATGTAGATCATGGCAAAAGCACCCTGGCAGATCGACTTCTCGAACTGACAGGCGTTGTTGATAAAAATAGCCATGTCAGTCAAATGCTTGACAAATTACAGGTTTTTTTTACTGCTCGTTCATTTTATCTTCCAAGTAATGGACTTTTATAGTTATTTCTGTCATTGTTCAAGTTAGGTTTTCTTACTATTTAGTAAGCTCATTTCTTGCAGGTCGAACGGGAACGTGGTATAACGGTGAAGGCGCAGTCATGTACTATGGTTCATAAGGTATCTTGATCAGATGTACGGTTACATGGCTTTGGGGGCAGGGGAATTGCATAGCAATTTTGTGAATAATTTTTATGAATAATTTAGTTAAATAATTCAGAGCAGATAGTTATTAGGTAATGACTGGTGAAAAGACTCTGTAAATAGATGAATTCAGGTCATTTCTGTTGAAGCTCTTATTTCCATCGTCAACCTAATTCTTCTGTTTTCAAATAATAGGATTTTTAAAAAGAATAAGTTAGAAAACAAATGTGAGTGCGGGTTTGAAAAAAATCGTTGTTTCATATAATGAATAATTGGAGCAAAATAATATTCTAAGTACTTCATAGGATTACATGCTGAATTTAATCGACACTCCTGGCCATGCTGACTTCAGTTTCGAAGTTTCTCGGTCTCTTGCTGCTACAAATGGAATTCTGCTTCTTGTTGCTGCCAATCAGGTTGTAGAGTTTTGCATGACTTTAATTTGGAGATTTCCGTCTGGTCTGTAAAATTTTGTGATCAATTATGCAACGCTGCTGATTTACAGGGTGTAGAGGCGCAAACGGTGGCTAATTTTTGGTTAGCATTTGAAGCCGGTTTAACAATTATTCCAGTTATCAATAAAATTGACCTCAAGAGCGCTAACGTCCCACGAGTTCGTTTAATTTCCAGATTTTTTTGTTCTCTCTTCAATCCAATTAGTTTTTATATTTTTTCATAAAGTTTCATAGAATTAGGATGAGTTAAAAGCTAAAGCAGTCTCCATCCTGATATAGAATACTTTTACTCCTGCTTAAAGTGGTCCTCATAGCTTGTCGTGCTTTCTCATTTTCATGTACAGGTAATATCACAGATGCAGAATTTATTCGATTTTTCGCCATCCGAAATACTTTATATTTCTGCCAAGAATGGTACTGGTATTGGCAATGTCTTGGATGCCATTGTTGAAAGGTTAATACATTTCAATACTAAGGATGGATTTTCTGTGATTTTTCAAGCATGTCTTTCTCACAGCTTCAGCACTCATTCAGAATTGCTCACTAATTTTTTTTCTTTCTTTTCCGTTTTCATTTTTCTGCAGGCTGCCACCACCCAAAGTTGAGTTACATTTACCTCTTCGTGCACATATCTTTGATTCCTGGTATGAAACTCATCGTGGTCCAATGGTTTCCGTTGCTATATATGATGGTGCGATTTTGAGGGGGCAGAGAATACGAACTTATCATACTGACTGCGTATACGAAGTGTTGGTGGTGGGCATCATGAGTCCGAATATGCATGAAGTTGAAGTTAGTTCGTTTATTATGTTTCAAATGATTTATCGCCAATAGTTCACTTTTTGTTTTAAAAAGTTGTTACAGTGTTTATATGCTGGCCAAGTTGGTTATCTCTTAACAACGATGAAATCAGTAAAAGATGCTGTTGTTGGAGAAACGTTATACGATGTAAACAGTGAGCGTAGTATGGTACAACCTATACCTCTATTAACGGTTCGAATTTGAAATGTGATTAGTAGACAAATTAACATGTTTATTTTTGGTCGAGTAATCAATTAGTTTACATATTGTGAAAGGATAGCGCAAATTTCGTCTCTACTAAAACCTTCAAAAAAAAAACAAACATGAAATGTTGGTGAAATTGTAGCCCAGTGCGCCGTGCATTTACGCTAGTATTTACCCAACAGACGTGAGAGAATATAGTGCCTTGCGCGTTGCGCTATACAAATTGGCTTTAAACGATTCATCGGTGCAAATCCAACATGATAGTAGCATTGCGTTGGGCAGTGGTTTCAAAATTGGTTTTTCAGGACTTCTACATATGGAGGTAATTTTTCGCTTATTAAACTTATCAAGATAGCTAGTGTAATAGAGTTTTTCTCATTAATCTTCCTTTTTTTCTTTTTATCCTGCCAATAATTATATATTTAACCTCCAAAGTCAAAATAGTTATTTTGCAGGTTTTTTGTGCTAGATTGGAACAGGAATATGATGCTAACGTTACTATAACTGCACCTAGTGTCGAATATCGCGCTGTCATTAAGAACAATTCGACTATTATAAAAAAAAGGTATTTCATCGAATCTTAAGCTTATTCATTAAATTTGTTTTTCTTTCTTTTTTTTTTAAATTTTTGTAGTTATTATCTCGATATCCTTTGGTAAGATCTAAAGTTCTATTTTTCGTTTCCAGGTGAACATCATTTTTTATTTGTTCATCTTTTTATTTCTTTTGTAGATACAACGGTCAGCATGTTATTCGTCTTTTGGATGCTAGTGATTTCCCGGCTTATCCCAGCGACATTGATCATTTCTTAGAACCGATAATAAAGTTAACACTTTTTTTATCCAGTGCATACTGCGAGTATATAGAAAGATTATGCGTTGATGCTCGTGGAGAACAAGGTATTGTTTCTGCTTAGTGCATCTTATTTGTTACTTTTGTACATGCAAAGCTAGCGTATCTTTTGTAAGTTCAAGAAACTGAATTTTTTAAAAATTGAACTACTAAACGTTCTTTATCTTGTATATTCAGTTGAGAGTAACGGATTAGATATAGACTACACTATGCAGCAATGGAGATTACCATTTGCTGAAGTTCGTATAGATTTTTTCGAAAGATTGAAAAGGATCACAAGGTTTGCTAATTTTGGTCCTATTTTTGCTTATTCCGTTTGCCGGGTATTTCTTGAAGGAGGTCGTTATCTTGCTTTGATACTCAGTGTTATTGCCTGATTACACAACAACCTCATAGTTCCAGAGTTTCGTTTTTTTTTTTCAAGAAATGTTTTTGAATAATGGGAATCTTCTATCTTTCACTTATTTTAGTGGCTATGTGACATATAATTACCAATGGGATGGCTTTCAACAAGCAAAAATTGAATTGCTTATGATATATATCAACGATCTTCCTGTTTATGAATTCTCAGAGATAATGCCTGCAAATCAAGTCAAAGCAAGAGCTAAAGAAATTGTGAAGAAATTACGAGAGGTCGGTTTTCATATTATCTTTAAAGATTTTTCACTTCCAACTTTTTCATATTTCTCAAGAAGCCAAGAAGAGAAAAATTATTCAGAAAATTTTTATATTGCAGGAGATACCTCGTCAGCAGTATGAAGTGCGAATTAAGGCCACTCTTGGACAAACAAAAAAGGCGCTAGCACAAACAGTTATTTTACCAATCAAAAAAGATTTTACGGGTCGATTGAAAGGCAATTTAGGAGGTTTGATAACTCTTGAATTTTACTTCAATGGTCGCTTTTCTGTTTTTGTTAACTAATGAAAAATTTTCTGCTTTGTACCAACTTTCTATCTGTAAAGTTCTACTTCCCCTAAAATTTTGTTTTATTTATTCTATATGCCCATTATACTTTCCTTTTTTCTTTTACTTGCAAACTGTTATCTCCTTATTTTAATTACTACAATATTTTAGTCATTTTAATCTTTTGAGATACTGCTTGTGATTTAGATGTGCTCTAAACTCAGTTCATTTTTGAACATCTCGACTTCAACCCTTTTTCTTTTCGAAATTTTTCCCATTTTTATGCAACAGTGTTTCCATTCTCTCATATAAAATGGTTTACTATAATTTTAGGTGGTGGTTGGGAACGTTTTTGTAAAAAACTATCGGATCAAAAAAAAGGAAAGGAACGGATGAAACAACTCGGTCAAGTACAAATCCCCAAAGAAGCATTCATTAATGTACTGCGAAGGTCGTAAGGCTCACTTGATTCTTGTGTTACTGTGGAATGCGTTGAAAAATACAGTTTTGGCCGACATGCAATAATTTTTAGGTGGATGAAATCGAAAGTAGGGTTATTTCGATAATAACATCGGAAATCGTCCCCGTTATTTTTCGAGTCGTTTTGTTATAACTGATATGATCTAGTAGTGCTTTTCTGATATTTAATTAATAAATGTGATCTGCTATCCTTCTTGCGTTAATTTTTTCTTTTTTAAATTGCCATTTAAGTTTAGTTGCAAAACAATCATTGGTTCTGACAGTTTCTTTCCTGTCCTGTAAATAATATTAATCATGCAGATTTGCTATTACAAATAATAAATGTTGGGGAATTTCGGTTTCGGATTGCAGTAGAAGTTCCAATCTCTACAGTTTTTTGAGGAAAGTTTCATCCAGTTTGCGAGATTCTTTTGATGGCGAAGGGTTCATATTAATATTTGATTTAGTAAGGAATACTTTTAGGAAGGATGGTCTACAGAGACTGACAGTTGAAGGGGGAAATTGTTCACCTGTTTAACTGAATTATGTAACCAATAAATTGTTGTTTTGTGAACCGTTTTTGTCTCAGCGGAGATCGTAATCTTTAGATATTCTATATACTGCGAAGGCGTGTATTTTCATATTGTGATGAGCTGAAACATCAGCTATTAGTGTAAAAAGAAAATGTGGTGCGAATTGCAGTGCAGTTTCTGAAGATTTATTTTGCATAATTTATGTTCTGTTGTGCAAGTTCGCTTTGTAGTAGTCCAATCTGAAAAAGATCGAATTAATTTAATCGTTTGGTGTAAAAAGTGTACATTTTGGGGAAGTAAATTTTTTTGACCGATTGCGTTTTAGTTAAGTTACTCAACTGAAATTTTAAGTGCAAAGAAGCGTTCTGAAATGTATCTCACAGAACACTGGCATGAGAAGTAATGAGCTTAATGCTTGGAATTATATTGTCCTTCATTAAATAATCGTAGATGACATTCCATCTGGTGACATTCTCGATGATGTAGGACATCTGTGATACTAAGGGATGTACTGCTCTGTGTGTCTGCATGTTCTTAAACATTTGAGTTGTTATCTTCCCAATGAATTTCTTGGTAACAGAGATTCGCACTTGTTGACCATTCTGTTCATTTTGTGAATTGACTATTGGCATAGTGCAGGTTGTTGTACTGTCTTTTTTCTCCTTGTCAGTCTAAAATAAGTGAGAATGGTAGAAATAACGAGAAATTTTCGACACCGCCCGGGCTCTGCGCTGGACGAATTTGAGAAAGTAGGATGTCGAAACAGCAAGCATCCACTGTGGGATGGGTGGAGAGATCGGTTAAAACAGAAGAGATGACGTTGTGGGTATTTTGAAAACTTTAGCTTATTGTTAGTATGTATGTTATAAACATATGTATTTTATTCATTTTTCCTTTCAATTCTTGATATTTTTCAGTCATAAATTGAATAGTAATGGCTAGAAGAAATGATCGCATACGACAAGTGATGCATAACGAGAAAAGTTGTTGTGATGTACAGTTGCTTCAAATGATTATTTATTTCTTCAGCTTTCTCTTTTATGTTAGTTTCTTCTGTTTCTGCTCATGATGAAATGCTATTGTGTTTCATTATTTTGGGATGACATATTTAGAGTTTGGTAACTGTTTAAATTTCAACGGTGAAGGGTTCAAGCTTCCTGGATTTCAAATGAAAATACCAAGAATTCGGTTTAAATTTAAATTAAGTTTGTAATACTAATATTTTGTTGCAGATCAGTTCTGTAGCATTTATCGGGCTAACCATATGGAATTATACCATGAAATATACAATGATTGCTCCGTTACTGTATAGCAGCAGGTACCTGCAGAGCATCATTCTATGCTTCGTTGTTGGCTTAGCCGCATTTGTTGTAGCTTCGTCAGGTTGTTGGGCTATTTCAAAAAGAAAACAGTTACTGTTGTTACTGGTTGGTACTACTTTATATACTTCATATATTGCTTAAAGTATCGGTTTGATCTGTCTTCCTCGTTACTATGGCACAGCCAATCATATGTATGATTTCCGATTGGCTACAATCTTTAGCTGTGAGTACATCTTTATCTTTAAATAAAGCACTTAAAATAAAACGACTATCAATCTAATAAATTAGATGTAGTTGAGCTGTTCTTTTCAGTTTTCTGTTTTGATATTATTCACACTGTTGATGGCATTAGCGCTATGTATTATGACGTATGCTTACATTGAGTACCTTGAGAATAATCTTGGAACAACTTTACTTATGTCAATTATTCGTGATCACTCTGAGCGCAGTGATATTTCTCAAGCACTCCAGCACATACA